TATTATTATATACTATTTTTACCTTAATTTCTCTATCTCTCGCTTCCCAGTTATATTAGAATTGTTATGACTGTCTTGAAAGCTATAAGGCCCTTCCTTTATTACTTTTACGAATCTTTGATAGTTTAGACTTCTAAAATATAAAATATCTAAACATTTTAAAGTTCCTCATATAGGCTTTTTCTTTATTCTTAGGTTCTTAGGAAGTGCTCTTACTTATTACTTAAGTTAAAGTAGTTCATTTAGAATTTAGAATTTATTTTATACTTTTGAAATTGATTTTTTAAGTTAATATAAGCATTATAAATTTGATACGCATTGGTTACATGTACTACAATTTTTAATTATTCATAATTTTTGAAATTAAAATTATCATTATTTAAAAATACATTTATATAGAATTAAAAAAGAAAAAAGAAAAACACTCTTAGATGACAAGGGAGGCCCACATATTTAGGAACCCTCCCCATCCTAGGTTTAGTTTTGTATAATTTTATATAGTTTAAACTACACAAAATATTTATATGGTAACAACAATAAAAATTAAAAATATTTAGGTGAATCATGCAGTACCTTTTTCTCCGAAATCAATCCATCCTAACTTTCTTTGTTTCAGATCTTGGCACTCCCGTTTGCTCCCTCCAACAAAATTTCTGCAAAATATTTAGTAATTATTATTATTATTATTACAAATAAAAGACTAAACTTTATAGTCCCTCTGTCCCAATATAGTTATCTTTTTTTCAATTAATCAATAATTTAAGGATAATAATTGTATTTATATATAATACTCTTTAAAAAATAAAAGATAAAGATAGACTTTTTGTGATTGGATAATTAATTAAAATGAATGTATAATGATGGAAGAATGATTGGTATATTCTTCGGTTCAATCATTAAAACTTACTTTTGAAAATTTTCTTACCTTGAATTCACATTTGAAAATATTAATTTCTTAATTATTGAACCGGTGAGTGTTATTAAGTGTGTTGAACTAAAATATATATTAATCATTATCCATAATGATGAGATTAATAGAAGAACAAAATATTTGTCTACCTTGATAAATAAAAAAATGATAATTAATTTGGATTTCAAATTTAAAATTAAAAACATTTAGTACTGTACATTTTTCCTCGAAATCGATCAATCGGTCTTAACCTTTTTAAATTTAGATTTCGGCACTGTTGTTCTCTCCCTCCCAAAAAAGAGCAAAATGCATTGATTCATATATAACGAGATATTTTAATAAAAAGAGCAAAGAATCATAGCTCTATGCAGCCAAAGAATACTCACCAATTGGCAGAAGCAGAAGAGTGTTCGAATTTACTAAGGTCGAAGTTTTTCTCAGTTGAGTTCCAGCTTCTAATCTAGATAAAAAGGCAATGGAAGTCCAAATAGAATACTTTAGTTTTCATACTAAAAATTTCAAGTTTCAATCTTGCAGTAGACAACAAAGCTCAAAGATGTCTGTTTGAATGTACCGTACCTGCTTTCAACATTTTAAAGCAAGTGGTCATGTGTTTAAAATGGTAGCTTTCATCAATCAAAGTAGCAAGTTACAGCCTTTCAGGTATTACAAAGTGATTTAATTAATTAGAACTCGGGTTGGACCCCCGGTATGGTAGCCGCACCTGTGTTAATTGACTGATGCAGTTGAAACCATACCAAAGAATATTGGTTTTTGCTAAGCCGTTGCCGACCGCATTTTACCAAGATTGCTGGGAGAAGGATTGATTACAATAAAAATAAAGTAAATAGGTCCCTGAGCTACAGAAGTTGCAGTGAATTAGCCCTTTGAGCTTTGTTTGTCAACGCTTTAATGCATTAATGTAATAATTAAATGAAATTAACAACTAAATTGAAAGTATTTAGAGCCTGTTTGGTGCAGATTGTGAGAAGAGCTTTTTGGCTCGAAAAGCATAAACTGCACCAAACGGGTCAGCTTCCAAAACTTGCTGCAGCTTTTGAGAAGCTCAGCTTCTCGCCTTTCTTTGCAAAACCCGGAAGCTCCCATTTCTTTACTTCCTCGGGAGCTTCTCGCTTCTAATTTAATGAAATTGCCATGTTCTTCCCATTTTATCCTCACACTTCTTTTTATTTACGAAAAAACTACGATATAAAGGACCAATTTATAATCAAACCAACCAGCCCCCCAGCCACATTTGTTTCTTCCTCATCCAATCACAGAAACAAATCGAAATCCAATCACAGAAACAAATCGAAAATACTCATCCAATCACAGAAACAAACCAAAAATACTTAACTATATTATTCCTCATCCAATCAAAGAAATAAACAAAAAATCCTTACCGTATTCTTCCACAACAGATTCCCTCTAACAGAATTTCTATTAAAAAGACTAACCACACCAAACAGGCTCTTATTTTCTTTCAATTATCAATATATGTACATGACAGTCATTTCTCTCTTTTGTCATCCACATCAGTTAAAATTAACAAAAATTATCCATAGTTA